GAACGGAAAATGTACCTAACAATCCTTGTCGCGCCCGGGATTCAAACCCGGGATTCCCGATTGTTAGTTGAGGACGAACCCAAGGAAACGAACCCTTATTAGTAGATATGTAGATCTCTTTACATGACTTGATATTGGTCTAAGACGGACCGAAACGTTGTCAAGTCCATTACCCTCAGATGTGTGGGTTGGGTGTCTAATGCATATACTACACAAGACAGGAGAGAATCTATTGTAATCTATCTTTGAGAGTGATATATATGGCTTATTCTGAAGCTTTTTTTGTTACGTAAGAGGCCTAAATTAAACTCCAAGGCTTGCAATATGAGACATGTATGGGGCAAATAAAGATATTTTCATATACAACGCATTATATATAAGAATTACTTAATAACGTCAAGTACCCAGCTAAGGTTATATTCTTACTATGACAATTATTTTGGTTCATGAAGCTGTATCAACATAGGACATATAACATGCTAATTTACAGAAATCAAACTGAATTATTATGGGTAAGTGTTGACATGAAAATATGTACTTCAATACATAAATATTGGCCTAGGTGACAGTAGATGGTAGACTAGGTGATGGTAGACTAGGTGACGGTAGATGGTAGACTAGGTGACGGTAGATGGTAGACTAGGTGATGGTAGATGGTAGACTAGGTGACGGTAAATGGTAGACTAGGTGATGGTAGACTAGGTGACGGTAAATGGTAGACTAGGTGACGGTAGATGGTAGACTAGGTGACGGTAGATGGTAAACTAGGTGATGGTAGATGGTAGACTAGGTGATGGTAGATGGTAGACTAGGTGATGGTAGATGGTAGACTAGGTGACGGTAGATGGTAAACTAGGTGATGGTAGACTAGGTGACGGTAAATGGTAGACTAGGTGACGGTAGATGGTAGACTAGGTGACGGTAGATGGTAAACTAGGTGATGGTAGACTAGGTGACGGTAGATGGTAGACTAGGTGATGGTAGATGGTAGACTAGGTGACGGTAAATGGTAGACTAGGTGACGGTAGATGGTAGACTAGGTGACGGTAGATGGTAGACTAGGTGACGGTAGATGGTAAACTAGGTGATGGTAGATGGTAGACTAGGTGATGGTAGGTGGGGATTTTTTTTGTATTTAGTATTTTAATGTTATATATTTCCTGTGGATGAGCGGTTTCAAAGTAAAGTCAGTACTGTAGTACTGTAAGTATACAGAAAGTCAAAGTTGAACGCTTTTTCTTAATTAGAATTGATTGACTTAGTTTTTATTATTTGATTTAACCTGAATATGTGGTACGGAGGCCAATAATTTCTCAAACAATTGACAACCTTAAGAATTAACAAAATTTAGCAGCAACAAATAATGATATATAAACACATCTTTCCTATAACCAATTGTTATAATGTTTAACAGTGTATGTTTGCTTAATAGTTATATTATTTGTCTTGCTTACACAATACGTATTTAATGCCAGTTAGACACACCGAGGAACGGTCTGCCAGGGTGCCTCAGCAATCATTAACGTCTCTGGTATTCAGTGTTCACCACTATTTACTTGATAACTACTGCTATAATATCTTGCTATGATAATCGAATATTTTCGTGTCGTAAAAATACGTATTTAATACGAGTTACAGACACAAGGAGCATATATAGCCAGCATAAGGGACTGGCCGACAGAGATGTTTCCGGATCCGGGTTGTGTAGTAGAGAAAACGTGACTTCAGTACTATTTACATAGGAGTGCGCGGGAAATGTCTGGAGTGAAGGGCTCCTCTTAAGATGATGTGTAACTGGGACAAAGTCCACTACGGGCTCACCATAGGCCGTGCTACTTGGAACTTTTGTTCCAAGTAGCTGAATCTAAAACAACAAATATGTTTGGGATGTTGCTTGTCCGTGATCTGCAGGTGTTTGGGGCGTGATTTACAGATATCCCTTCCCCCACCCTTACCCAGCGACAAGGATATCCGCGCGATACCTATCCAGCTGCTAGCCAGATCTAACGGTGCTTAACTTGACTGAGCGAGTGATATGCAGCTTGTTCCCTGCGCTGCTTCCCCGGCCACCTCTGTTCCTTACACATCTATTGCTTACACCTCTGTTGCTTACACCTCTGCTCCTTACACCTCTGTTGCTTACACCTCTGCTCCTTACACCTCTGTTCCTTACACCTCTGTTGCTTACACCTCTGTTTTGTCGCAGCCTCGTGGATGTCCCCTTACATGTGTATCTTAGCTCCCTACACCACCCCACACACACACACACACACACAGGCATCTACACTTACACTACCACATATATTCTCAAGCCACACACTGACGTGATGAGCAATATGATATCGAGCCTTGTCAACCACACAATTATGCACCCTACTAACACGCCCACTTACACACACACACACACACACACACACACACACACACACACACACACACACACACACACACACACACACACACACACACACACACACACACACACACACACACACACACACACACACACACACACACACACACACTTACACACAAAAGGATAGACAGGAGGCACTGAACTACAGGCCAGTGTCCCTAACCTGCATACCATGCAAGCTGATGGAGAAGATTGTACGAAAAAAACTAGTGGAGCATCTGGAGCGAAGGAACTTTGTAACACAGCATCAACATGGATTCAGGGATGGCAGGTCCTGCCTCACAGGGTTACTTGAATTCTACGACCAGGCAACAAAAATAAGGCAAGAAAGAGAAGGGTGGGCAGACTGCATATTTTTGGATTGTCAGAAAGCCTTTGATACAGTGCCACACAAGAGGCTAGTGCGAAAGTTGGAGATGCAGGCTGGAGTGAAAGGGAAGGTACTCCGGTGGATAGAGGAGTACCTAAGCAACAGGAGACAACGAGTCTGTGTGAGGGGTGAGGTCTCAGATTGGCGAGACGTCACAAGTGGAGTCCCGCAGGGGTCAGTCCTTGGACCTATACTGTTTCTGGTATATGTAAATGATCTCCCAGAGGGTATAGATTCGTTCCTCTCAATGTTTGCCGACGATGCAAAAATTATGAGGAGGATTGAAACAGAGGATGATAGTAGGAGGCTACAAGATGACCTGGATAGACTGAGTGAATGGTCCAACAAATGGCTGTTGAAGTTCAACCCGAGTAAATGCAAAGTAATGAAACTAGGCAGTGGAAACAGGAGGCCAGACACAGGATACAGAATAGGAGATGAAGTACTTAATGAAACAGACAGAGAGAAAGATCTAGGAGTTGATATCACACCAAACCTGTCTCCTGAAGCCCACATAAAGAGAATAACGTCTGCGGCATATGCGAGGCTGGCTAACATCAGAACGGCGTTCAGGAACCTGTGTAAGGAATCATTCAGAATCTTGTACACCACATATGTAAGACCAATCCTGGAGTATGCGGCCCCAGCATGGAGCCCGTACCTTGTCAAGCACAAGACGAAGCTGGAAAAAGTCCAAAGGTATGCTACTAGACTAGTCCCAGAACTAAGAGGCATGAGTTATGAGGAAAGGCTGCGGGAAATGCACCTTACGACACTGGAAGACAGAAGAGATAGGGGGGACATGATCACAATCTACAAAATCCTCAGGGGAATCGACCGGGTAAACAAGGATGAACTATTCAACACTGGAGGAACGCGAACAAGGGGACACAGGTGGAAGCTGAGTACCCAAATGAGCCACAGAGACGTTAGAAAGAACTTTTTCAGTGTCAGAGTAGTTAGTAAATAGAATGCACTAGGAAGTGATGTGGTGGAGGCTGACTCCATACACAGTTACAAATGTAGATATGACAGAGCCAAGTAGGCTCAGGAATCTGTACATCAGTTGATAGACGGTTGAGAGGCGGGACCAAAGAGCCAGAGCTCAACCCCCGCAAACACAACTAGGTGAGTAACTAGGTGAGTACACACACACACACACACACACACACACACACACACACACACACACACACACACACACACACACACACACAACACCTGGTCATGTGCGGCCCGGCGGTAACTCTACTACAACACCACACAAGAGCTACAACCCAATCTTTATCTACAACACAAACACAGTCTACAGCAGCTATGTTAAACTGGAGCCGCTAAAGTACAGTTAACACCAGTCACAACACAATCTAATTATACAACATCCATACAATCTGTATTATCTGTACCTTAACAATAACGACGGTATACCTTGTCTAAACCACAATCTAAAAAGTCTAACAGGCGATCTACAATCATTAAAAACAACCCCTAACAAAACCATTGGCTACAACATTCTAAACACACCTTACAACATCTACAACTCGGGCTATCGTAGCTGACGTGCACAAAGGCTATAAAGCTCATTAAAAACAATAAATAACAGCTACAACCTTTCTTCAACATGTGCAATACCTTACCACAGATACACTCCCAGTAAGCCAACAACTGCAGTATTGCAGGCGATGAGTCACAATAACGTGGCTGAAGTATGTTGACCAGACCACACACTAGAAATTGAAGGGACGACGACGTTTCGGTCCGTCCTGGACCATTCTCAAGTCGATTGTGATGAGGACAGGTAGGGACAGGCATTAAATAGGCAAGAGAGAGCTGAGGAGGCCTGCTGCAGTTCTCATTACTACTATCCCCTACACCTGACTTTCCTCCTCAGCTCTCTCTTGCCTATTTAATGCCTGTCCCTACCTGTCCTCATCACAATCGACTTGAGAATGGTCCAGGACGGACCGAAACGTCGTCGTCCCTTCAATTTCTAGTGTGTGGTCTGGTCAACTGCAGTATTGTAATACAGCTGCGACACTTCTCTTCTGACTCAACTAACTGCACGACTACCGACAGTTGTTCCCCAAGCGAGTCATTCTATGTTAATAACCTTTTAAGTTATTCACGTGTCATAAGGGAGGTACAGGTTTCGTGAGGCACAGTTTTTTTTAAGACATAGTTTAGAATTTTTTGGGGGGTTTCTGCTTGAGGATTTTAGTTTTTTGCTTCGGAATTTGAGTTTTCTGCTTCGGAATTGGAGTTTTCTGCTTCGGAATTTGAGTTTTCTGCTTCGGAATTGGAGTTTTCTGCTTGAGAATTTGAGTTTTCTGCTTCAGAATTTGAGTTTTCTGCTTCAGAATTTGAGTTTTCTGCTTCAGAATTTGAGTTTTCTGCTTCAGAATTTGAGTTTTCTACTTCAGAATTTAAGTTTTCTACTTCAGAATTTGAGTTTTCTGCTTCAGAATTTGAGTTTTCTGCTTCAGAATTTGAGTTTTCTACTTCAGAATTTGAGTTTTCTACTTCAGAATTTGAGTTTTCTACTTCAGAATTTAAGTTTTCTACTTCAGAATTTGAGTTTTCTACTTCAGAATTTAAGTTTTCTACTTCAGAATTTGAGTTTTCTACTTCAGAATTTAAGTTTTCTACTTCAGAATTTGAGTTTTCTACTTCAGAATTTAAGTTTTCTGCTTCAGAATTTGAGTTTTCTACTTCAGAATTTAAGTTTTCTACTTCAGAATTTGAGTTTTCTACTTCAGAATTTAAGTTTTCTACTTCAGAATTTGAGTTTTCTGCTTCAGAATTTGAGTTTTCTGCTTCAGAATTTGAGTTTTCTGCTTCGGAATTGGAGTTTTCTACTTCAGAATTTGAGTTTTCTGCTTCAGAATTGAGTTTTCTTCTTCAGAATTTGAGTTTTCTGCTTCAGAATTTGAGTTTTCTGCTTCAGAATTTGAGTTTTCTGCTTCAGAATTGGAGTTTTCTTCTTCAGAATTTGAGTTTTCTGCTTCAGAATTTAAGTTTTCTACTTCAGAATTTGAGTTTTCTGCTTCAGAATTTGAGTTTTCTGCTTCAGAATTTGAGTTTTCTACTTCAGAATTTGAGTTTTCTGCTTCAGAATTTGAGTTTTCTGCTTCAGAATTTGAGTTTTCTTCTTCAGAATTTAATTGAGGACCATTTTCGCCGAGACAGAGCAGCGTTTTAGTCTCCTTGTTCTACTGGCAACTTGTTTTCTCTGGTTCTTTAGAAGAGACTTTAACCTACGTTGCTGTGGTGACCAGTTTCTTGACGAACTGTGTTAAGAAGCGAATCATGTTCCTTGAAGTGGGTGGTCGTTTGTTAGTATGCTGTTTGTTCCTTTTGTTAGTGGGTGTTGCTGCCTTATATTAGTCTAGTGTTGTTCCTCTTGTTAGTGGGTGTTGCTGCCTTATATTAGTCTGGTGTTGTTCCTTTTGTTAGTAGGTGTTGCTGCCTTATATTAGTCTGGTGTTGTTCCTTTTGTTAGTGGGTGTTGCTGCCTTATATTAGTCTGGTGTTGTTCCTTTTGTTAGTGGGTGTTGCTGCCTTATATTAGTCTGGTGTTGTTCCTTTTGTTAGTGGGTGTTGCTGCCTTATATTAGTCTGGTGTTGTTCCTTTTGTTAGTGGGTGTTGCTGCCTTATATTAGTCTGGTGTTGTTCCTTTTGTTAGTGGGTGTTGCTGCCTTATATTAGTCTGGTGTTGTTCCTTTTGTTAGTGGGTGTTGCTGCCTTATATTAGTCTAGTGTTGTTCCTCTTGTTAGTGGGTGTTGCTGCCTTATATTTGTCTAGTGTTGTTCCTTTTGTAAGCGCGGGGTTCTGCCATTGTGTTAGCTTACCGGTGATGTATTTGCTGAGGGAGGATACATAGTGTCCTCTCACCCAGAAGCCTGTTACTTTCGGAGGTTGTCTTAAACCCCTGACCTACAGCAACAGCTCTTGAGGGCTCGCCTCACACATGCCCCGCCCCGGTATGTTTGTGTTGAATGTCCCGTGATGTGGTCTAGATGAGCAGCAGCAGCAGCAGCAGCAGTAACAACAGCAGCAGCAGGAGGAGGAGCAGCAACAGCAGGATCAGCAGTAGGAGCAGCAGCAGCAGCAACAGCAGCAGCAACAGCAGGAGCAGCAGCAACAGCAGCAGCAACAGCAACAGCAGGAGCAGCAGCAGCTCTTCGTTCAGCACACGACCCACACCTGTACTCTCGTACCTTGACCTGCACGGACAGTTTTTGGGCCCATTGCCAATTGCCCTGCGCCGAGACGCTGGTGCTGACGCGCGCGCGCGTGTGTGTGTGTGTGTGTGCTCCACAAGCATACATGCGCATACGTGCATACACTTACCCCACGCACACACACACACACATACAGTTTGGGTGACAGCCCGATATATGACCTATCAAAACGCAGCTTTCGTGTACCTTATAATGGTTCGATTCAAAATGCACAGAAACCGGATTAGAATCATTATTCATATCGTCCGGTTGATTGTAGCGACTCTGGCGTCTTGTTGGCACTCCCAGGAGAGCTACAAGTGCCAGTTTTTGCAGCTTGTGGTGTTACCTTATCTGTGGGCAGGACGATAGAGGCGGGATCTGTTTTAGATTAGCCTAATTTGCCTTAATGTGAGTGGATAGGGAGTGTTCTTGCCTTCATCTGGAGGTCAGTTAACAGTAACGAGTTGGTGAGGAGACTTCTGGACCTCCTTTTGGCCGGCTCGATCCCCAAGGTCCTCTTTGTTGATGACGACTTTACGTCCTCTCCTCGTCGCTTGGCTGAGTTGGTCGCTTAGCTGAGCTGGTCGCTTGGCTCAACTGGTCGCTTGGCTCAGCTGGTCGCTTGGATCAGCTGGTCGCTTGGCTCATCTGGTCGCTTTGGCTCAGCTGGTCGCTTGGCTCAACTGGTCGCTTGGCTCAGCTGGTCGCTTGGCTGAGCTGGTCGCCTGGCTCAACTGGTCTATTATCCTCCCCTCGTCTAGAGATAAACAATGCAGGTAACATTGTTATCCATTATTATTTTGGGCGAATACTCAACAATAATCCGGATTATTGATTGTTGTCTCAACAACCCATCAATAGATCCGGTTTGGTCAGACCTACAGAGCATTGCTCTTAGACTAATCAATTATTTTGAATTCTTGGGGGACAGGAGCACTTCTTGCAACTTCAGAGCTTATAATAAACGCGATTCATATTCAGTAGTGTGCATAGTTTATCATCCCCAACCAAAACAGGATTGTCATCTACATCAACGCTCCGGCTATTATGCTATCTGGAAAGTAGATTAATCTTGTAAGAGGCTGCATCTTGTACACTAAAGACTCGGCACTACTGCACAGCTTTCTTGATCATCATTGCAGCATCCTTGCATCTCACGGAAGTTTAAAAAGAAGTTGATGTTTGCCGGATGTCATCAATCAATGTCGTGTTGATTTTATGGAACTTAACTATTATTATTTGATTGATAAGGTGGAAGTCCCCACTAATGGTATAAGGTAGAAGTCCCCACTAATGGTATAAGGTAGAAGTCCCCACTAATGGTATAAGGTAGAAGGGAAATTGAATGTTTGACAGATAATGTGGATGTCATATCTATTGCTTGATAGATAAGGACCGAAAGAACATAATTGAATTGATCTATTCAAGAATATGTACATAAAATTTATCTTTCTCATACATCCACACACACACACACACACACACACACACACACACACACACACACACACACACACACACACACACACACACACACACACATCCACACACACAGAATCTCGTGGTCGAGTGGTTCACGTCCGCGATTTACAAGCCAGAGGCCCCGGGCTCGATTCCTGGCCGAGCCAGAAACAAATTGGGAGAGTTTCTTTCCCTTGATGTCACCGTTCACCCAACAGTAAAACAGATACTTGGGAGTTAGACAGGTGCTGCTGGATGCCTTCCGGGGATATGTGTGTGTGTGTGTGTGTGTGTGTGTGTGTGTGTGTGTGTGTGTGTGTGTGTGTGTGAGTGTGAGTGTGCATGTGCGTGTGTGCGTGCGCACTCGCTTCTTGACTCCCACACTTTCTCAATAACGTGAGAGAGTTTTCACTCAGACGACGTGAGGGAACGAGGAAGTTCTTTAACAGGAGACAGAGAGAGAGAGAGAGAGAGAGAGAGAGAGAGAGAGAGAGAGAGAGAGGAGTAACAACTACAAACTCAACAGGAAATACTGAGAATCTTTTACCATCCTTCCTCTAAACCATTCAACAAGTTTACAGGTAAACCTAATTAGAATTACATTTATCTAAGACTCAGTGTTTAGAAGTCAAGATTATGAGGTTAGTGTTCTTAATCTTATGATAGTCTGTATCAAGACTATCTGAGGTCAATGTTGTCAATATGAAGGTCTTCAATATAAAAATGTATATACTTTAATATATATACTTTTAACCTCATACACAGTTGTTAATTCAAGTAAATACACTTTTGATGTATATACTGTCTTTGGTTTACATGTCTAGGGATTATCCCTGATTGGAATCATGAAGATCCCAATCAATATTAATTTCTAACTAACTAGTTTACTTGTCTGTACGTATAATTGGTTTAGTGTTGGGCTTAAGGCCAATCACTCTTTGGAGTGGTGTCATTAAGGTCACTCCAATAACTTACAACCCAACCAGCAAGTATACTTTACTTCTGAACATAGCCTAGGACTAGAGTATACTCTCGGTGGAGGTATACCTCTGTACATCCTCTATGTTTCCCCCAAGCTCCGGTAGCCCTTAAGAATCACAAGGTGTTTACCTCCAGTGTAAATAGGAATATCAGAGACAAGAGCCGCCTGTATCCTGTGTAAGTAAGACAGAGATTACACACAATATCCTGAAGATTGACGACCATGTATGTTGTTCTGAGTGACTCCCTCTTACTGCTGGAAGACTGAGGGCCCTGGGAGGCTCCAAGAGGACGAGGAGAAAGAGGAGAAAGAGGAGGAAGAGGAGTCTTCTTGGAGAAAGCTTGTGAGAAGTGTTATTTGTTGACAATTATCAACTTTCTGTCATGCAGTTGTCATGAATTATGACAATTATGACGTCTTGGCTTGACGTTCCTCCTCTTACTGCTGTCATGGCTGCTATTGTAGTCTACACGTGACATGCTGTATTGTTGGTCTGTGCTACATTATTGTATTAGTCTGCTGTATTGTCATATTGTATTGTGAACACCGCCGGAGGGGCGGTATTTGATAGCGTCAATAACCTGTGAGTGGACACACCGCCATAGTGACAGTATTGGGCAGCGTCACTCATCCTGTGAATGGACACACCGCCATAGTGACAGTATTGGGCAGCGCCACTCATCCTGTGAGTGGACACACCGCCATAGTGACAGTATTGGGCAGCGTCACTCATCCTGTGAGTGAACACACCGC